GGCGGCTCCCACCGCCAGCAAGGCAGCGTCTCTGGGCTGTAACAACAAGCCTGCGTTCCCGGAGCTGGATTTCAGGTCCGGAGCTCGGGTGGAGGAACTGAACAAACTCATCCAGGAATTTACGAAGCACGACCAGCGGGAATACGACGACCAGAGAGCGCTGGAGATTCACACCGCCAAGGATTTCATCTTTTCCATGCTGGGTAAGAAGGAAAAAGGGAGGAGGTGTGTGTGCTGGGAAGCGGAGTAGAACACCCTTTCCCCCTCTCGAGCGCTTTCCTCGGCTCGTTTTCCGGAGCTGGGTGCCAGGGGCTATAGCCCATCCGCTTTCCGCCTCTCCCCTTCTTTCTCCGCTGCAAGGCGAGCTGCCTTCCCTCCCCTTCTTACTGTACTTTGCGCCGGGGTCTCCTTTCCCCCCGTTCGCTGGGTCTTTTGTTAGTTTCTCAGCAGCCTGGGGGCTGGTGGCAGGTGAGGGGCTGGTGGAGAGATGGCTCACCACGAGGGAAAGCCCCTGGAGGCAGTGCGGTGCAGGTGAGACCCGGAGGCGCCTTTCATTTAAGGGTTTGGTTCCCACAGGCTCGACCTGCGCCTTCCCAGCGCCGGGTCCGCACTTGAGCTTGGGCGCAGAGACAGCCCGGGGCTCTGGCTCCGCGCCCGAGCGACAAGTTGCTTCTCTGCTCTTGCGGTGCGGCGCTGTCATGCCGAGCCCCCGGTGGCCAAACTTGTTGGGTGTTCCCGAGTAACCGGCTGAAGTATTCTGGGCGCCCGGAGTTCCTGCAACTTTGATTTGCAAATCGACTTCCCTTTGAAATGATCGGAAGCATTTCCGGTGCTTCTTCAGGCTTCTTCTTGCTGAGCTCGGAATTCCTAATTCTTAGCTCGAAAGTGACCAGGCGGAGAACTCTGACCTCCAGGATAGCCGGCCCCCTCCTCCTTGTGTATTGTCCTAGCGGTGGCCGAGAGAGGTGTCTGGAGTTTCCAACCCTGGAAACGTCGGGGGTTTAGAAAATATGCCGCCCACCCCCACCTTCCAGCCCCTCACCTACAGGTCCTGAAAGGTGATTGCATGGTGTGTAAAGGGAAATAATTGAGCCGGGCCTGGGAGACGGAGCCCCTCTCCAGGTGTCCTGCCGTTGGGGTTATTGCTACTGAGTTGTAGTACGAGTGTCCGCTGCTGGAAGCCTCCCATGTAGCCTGCGGCTCCACCAGTGAAACCGTGGCTGTCATGCAGTAGGTGGCCCCGCTGCCAACCTTCTGCAGAACTGGGACTCCAGCGCGGCGCTGCGCTAACGGTGTCTGTGTGCCTTACAAATAGACCCTCAGCCAATTTTACAGGTAGTGCACAATGTGGTTGGGGTAGGTCTTTGGAGCACAGAGGAGGACAGAGATTTGCCTTCCTCCTGCAACTTACTTGGGTTGCAGCCGGCTGTCTCTTTGCTGGTTCTATCCTGGGATGCCTTTTTCCCCTCTAGGTTTTCTTCCATCCCGTGTGTGTGTGTGTGTGTGTGTGTGTGTGCGCGCGCGCGCAGGGGACTGGTGGAGGGGGTAGTTAGCAGTAGTACAAATTGAACATGTGTCTGCCGCTAGTATTAACGCTGTGGGAAGTTGGAGGAACGTGTTAGAAGTCGTAGCTGGTTTCTACCTCGGCCTCTACGTGCCTGGGAGTGTATCCTAGACTGTGTGGGATTGAAAAGTTCTTTATTGGGATATTAGACCATTGAAATATTTTTGAAAAACATGCTTAACATGGTGGGAGTGAGCTTCCGGAGGGAACTTTAAAATGCTTAGAAAGCTTCTAGCTGTGCAAACCAGTGCAGTGATGTTAAGAAGGTGGGGCACCTACAGAAAACTCAGGGCAGTTATTTAAGTTGCTTAATCATGGCCCTTGTCTTTGGGATAAATGTGGAAGCGACCATTGTGTTATTATGCCCCCCCCCCACACACACCCATTCTGATGGCTCCTGCCCCGAAGCATTCACGAGAAAAAGGGACTCCATCACAGACAGGATAGTTGTCGATCAGAAGATGAGCGACTATGGGAAGGGGTACGTTTAAATGCCTGGCTCATTAGGAACTTCTGTGCCAGCCCCACAGCTGATACACCAAATTAGCAAAGCCTTTTTCCAGATACAAAGGGTGAATTATTCTAGGGGGCTTAATTTATGCATGTGTTTAATGTCGCGGGTGGCAGTGTGTTGACAGGTAAACTCGATTTGCTTCTTTTCCTTTTACCCAGTTGACCTTGAAAGAGAAGTCGTTCTTGCCCCCTGGGAATGTGGTATTTCAACCTGCAGGAGAGAACCTTCAGGAGAGTATCATTTAAGCCTTATGCCCCTCTGGACACTAGGAGGCAGATGGCCAGACGAGCCGCCTGTGTGGTGCTGCATTCATTTGCGAGGGTCTTGTGTTCCATTAATGAGGTGCTGGCTCTCTAGGCAAGTGAAGGTTTGGTGACAGTGAGAGTCCCTGTGTGGATTTACTTTTCTCTAAAGCAGATTTTCGCTTGGTTTAAAAAACAAAATCTCTTTGTACACTTGGTTTCACTTGCTAGAGCCTTGGGTCTTTTGTGCATATGCGAATGAGGTGTCTTTAATGACCCCCAGTTTGTGAAGGTGTCACTGGGAGATTCGGGGACAGAGTCCTCTTGGCTTGGTTCTGTCTGAGCTGTACCTGAGGATCAGCAGCAGCTTAAAAACATTATCCCCTCACACAGAATGAAAGGGGGAAGGAATTGGTACAAGCCCCCTTAACGGAGCTGTGCAAAATGCTGCCTCTTATTCAGGCAGTTGTGGGGCCATGAGGCAAGCGGCGCTCTTTGCCTAAGATTGTTCACTTAGGCCGTAGCCCCCTCTGACTTCCCAGACACTTTTCATTTTGTCTAGTTAGGAGACAGTTTTACCCAGAAGCGCAAAGGAGTGGCAGACAGTTGTCAGAACCAATGACCTGTCAACATCAAGACACTCCAAGGCTCTGCACAGGCTTGGCTGTTCACCTGAGCCTGCTGGTGGCCTCCATGGTCTGTGCTCTGTCCTAATTCTCTGCTTTACAGAGGGTCTGAAACCTTTGGAGGCAGGTATTAGCTGGAATCCTCAGACTCATTCCTTATTTTCTCTATACCTTGGTCTTCTCGGAGAATGATTGCTGTTATTATCTAGTTAATATTTGAGAGCCTAGATTGCGTGAAAGGCTGGCAGTGCATAATAAATACCATTTATCAAAATTCAGGGAAATTGCCAGAGTTCATTAATGTTTTAATAATATCTGGTATTTGCATAATGTCTCTGCCAGCTCTTTTGTTATCTTCATTCCCTAGTGAGGTTGGACGCAGACTGGTCGTGTCCCCATTGAGCGGATGCAGAGAGGAGGTCTTGCTGATGCTAGAGAAAGCAGGCCAGAGACCTAATGTGCAGGCCAAGGGGCCGATATCATGCATGGTTAATAAGAGTAGCTATCCCTTACCCATCACCCTCTTGGCCCAGGAACTTATGCAGCCTTTTGAGCGGGTATAACTTTTCCATCCACAGATAAGGATATTGAAATTTGGTGGGGTTAAGAAAATCCAGGGTCATATGGCCCATTCATGGTAGGGATGATCCTAAAACTCAGGTTAGACTTTCTCTAAGACTGCTTGCTCCTCACCTACTTGGGGTGATCTTGCACTGAATGCTTTAATTCCAGAGGAGGAGCTTTGCTTTGAAAAATCACTTTTTCTTTCAGGATTTTGTTAAGCTGTAAGTATTGGCATAATACAAGAAGTAACTGAAGTGATTTCTGGAGCAATTTGAGTTGAAGTATTTGATTCCTTTATAAGATGGCCAGTTTTAATTTTCAGTGTAGAAAAAATGATGGTCATTGTAATAAAACGTTAAAATCTTTAGTTCCTGTCTCTGTCTGCCTCTTGCTGGCTTTGTGGTATTCGTTTTTTTCACCTATTAAATATGAATAAGAGTAATGTATCGTTTCAGAATCGTTATGTATGAATGCGAAATTACTTTGCTAACTGAAAAGGAGCGCGTGCATGATTTTATTATTTATTTAAGGAAATGCACTTTATTGGAAAGTCTGGTGAACTTAAACTGAAATTGTTTTTGTGGCTTGGCACCAGACAACTGTGGTGTGCAGTTAGGGGCCACCGAGGACATCCTGGCTCTGACTCTAGAGGGCATGGTTAGCTCCAACCTGCCTCGCCACGCGTTAAGCTTATGCCATGTGCTGACCATGGTGCTAACTACTTGGTCTCAATCCATTCGCTGATGGAATCATCTTCCAATAACTTCATAAAGATAAGTGTCATCACACCCTCGAAGGAGGTGAAGTTGGTGGTATTCTTCCTTTTAAAGATGAAACGCTGAGGCTAAGGAGGTAAAATACTTGTGCCAAGATCATTCAGAGCTTGTGTTTTCAGTCAGATATTTCTGACTGAAAAACTCATGTTCCTTTCACTGAAGCTATACTCTCGGATCAGACAACCAAAAGGTCCCACTTCCTGGGGAATCCAACACTCAGTGGTCTTCTTAGCATAGAGGAGAAAAATAGTTCTCTTGGGACCAGCAGTTGGCATAATGGCTATGTCGCTGGACTCCCATGTAGTCGACCGTGGATCGAGTCCCAGGCCCAGTGGCTTAAACTCACGCCGGGCGTCTGTGCGTGCGTGCCCAAGATCCCAAGAGGAAAATAGAGGAGAAGGGATTGCCATCCTCCGTGGGGGATGATTTCTCATTTTCTGTCTGTCTGGTGAGCGCATGTACCCTATAGCAAAAACCTCTCAAAAAAAAAAAAGAAAGAAAGAAAAGGACTCGTTCTCTTGGTCTGCCTATCTGTCTCTGTCCCTTTTTCTCTCCCCCACTTTCAAAGAAGGCATTCGCCAAATACTTAATGAATGTAATAGTTTGCCAAACAGTATTGGGGTTCTGAGAACAAAGTCGTGAGCAAACACTTGGAGAAGTGAATAAAGGCCTTGGGGACCTTCCTCGTTTTAGAGAGTCGCTTGCTGGCTCGACTCTCCCCAGGTGAGTGGATAGCACGTGGCCACGACCGTGCTGTGTGACTCTGCTCCCGAGCCCGAGCCCGTCGCAGTTAAGGGACTGTCTACAGCTCCAGGACAGGCCATCTTGAAGCCCTGCTGACTCCGAGTTTGAAGGCCACTCTCTTACCAAACTTTCCCAGCAGCGATTTTTGTGGGGATTTCACGTGAGTTGTTGCC